ATACGTTGAACTCAAAGTTTGAATAGTGAATTATTAGGCCAAGTTTGAAGCGCGTGGTGTTAACAAGTCCGCCGACGCGAACGACACATTGAGGTATTCACCAATCGTTCAATGACAAGTGGAATTGAACTATTGGCTGAGGTGAGCTGAAACTTAAAAAAGTAGACATAGAAAAGTCAGTTAAATCGACTAAAAACCTAATTTCGAGCACATCACGGCCCAATCTAGGCTAAAAACTACCTAGTCCAAGAATGGGATCGATCCCCACATGGAATTGGGTCCCCACTCCCCACTCCCAGCCTTGGTTTCAATTTTATTCTATGCATTAACTGCTGAAATCTTTGCCACAAAACGACCGTCACATAATCCGTCAGACCACCCATGCCAAGGCTGTCAGTTTGTCTCATGCTTTGGCCTTGCCGCCGTGCACTCCTGTCAACAGCCGTTATGGGCACCATGCCAAATCATCGTTTGTATAAAATAAAAATTGTCTCTCTTGAGCTCTTTGGTGGGTCACCTTTACCTATGAAAGAAGAGGCCAAGGTTTTAGAAGTTGCAAAACCAAATAGGCTTGATTTTTTTTTTTCTTTTAAATTGTTACCATGTAGTTAAGAACAATCCTTGTTTGCCGTCTGGTTTATTGTGCACCCCCCGCTCTTTCCATGGAGTTCTCGTTGTCTCCTTCCTCGGCAATGCTTGTTTTTAAATACCGTACGTACTTAATTCCACTTCCAAGTTCAAACTGACTTGAGGAGTGAATTTACTATATGGGGTTGATAGAGAGGGCAGTAAACCGAGAGACAGAGAAAGAGAGATGGCAGCTCGTGAGCTGAAAACTTCTTCCAAACATGTCTGAACGCGAGTCGTTTGTCAGCCCATGATTGAACTGTAAGTACTGATCCCTACACTAGTACAACTTTACTGATTTTTTAAAAACACAGACTGGGATTTGTTTACCAGGGCAAAGATTTATATTGACAACTAAAAAAAAGAGTATCATCCATTAACTTTTCTGATTTTTCTACCCATAATTACCTTAGAATAATTCACCTTCCTAAATCAAATACCAGAATCGACGATTTTGTAGTATGTAAATCCTTAATATTTACTCTTTTTATCTTCTGCATGATAGGCTGAACCTATTCTTTCCTTAATATTCCGCTTTTCTTCTGCGCAATTAAATCCTTTCCTTTTTACTCTGTTGCACAGCTAGCCCTAGCCTGTATAAATACGTTACTTGGCCTCAGTTGAGGGGCAGTCCCTTCAACGCAAGCCCTTTCTTTTTCTTTACAAAATCGAGCAGTTCTTCATTCGTTTCAGTAAAGAAAAAAGGAATAACAGTTGACTGCGCTTGTGCTCGATCAGTTGATCAATCTAGCCCTAGCCTATATCAACTATTGGTTACATGAGGTACTTCTTTTTTTTTCCTTCTTTTCATTTAGACAAACTCAATTCTTTAATATTGTATCTCTAACTTATATTTACCATTGAACTAAAACGTTTCTACTTTCTGCATGATTAATGTAATGAAGTAAATAAGTTGAACAAGTTTGATAAATAATATACATATAAATTATCATTTTAGGCTGCTTAATAAGGACAACGTTATAACAACTTATAATTTTTCGAGTCGAGCAAATAAGACTGATTATGAAACTGATGAAAGAAAGTAAGATGAGTGAGTGATCGTGGCGTCTGACTTAAAAAAGTACTGGATTGGTTTTCCCAGGGTGAATTGCATGAGGAAAAAACAAATGAAAAGGGTCACGTCCTGATCTGCCTGGCTCCCTGGATGCCAACTAAGGATGCTGTCAACAAGGATTGGCCCTTCCTAGTTGGCATCAGAGGAGTCAAGCAGGTCCAAAATTAGACAGATTTGTCATCATTTCAGGTATTTGTACCCTTCATTGCAGATGCTTTTCTTGTTTCCAATTTGTCTTCGTAATTTTTTTTGTCCTTCTACTTTGGGCTAGTTTTGGTCCAGAACGTGAAAGGAGCCTAACAATCCACGTCAACTGAAAGATGAACCCAGTCTTTGCTTTGAGCTAGGGCTAACCTGCCCAAAATTAGCCCAATTAATTGAAGCCCACACCACATACAATAATATTGTTCTTTGTTTGGTCAATTTCAATTTTTATAGAATTCAGCTGAATATATATGATGGTGTTAATTTTGAGTATGTCATTTTTTTGAGGTATCATATATTTTGTTTGATTTGGAGATTCAAATATATATTTATCAAGAACTTTTTTTGATAAAAAACTATTGAATATTGAACAAGAAACATATTATTATTTCCTCCTTTCCATATTAGATATTCTTTTTTTTTAAATTATTAGATATTCATATTTAACTTCAATGAGAAAAGTTTACTTATATTTTTTATATTAGATTTTAATTTTTTTATAATATATTTGTTTACATGGTTTTAATACTAAAAAATTTTTAAAAAATTTATAAAATATTAATAGAATTATTATCTTATACTTGACATGGAGTTTTTAAATTCTATAAGTGGAATTAGAAAGTTGTTAGTAAGATATATTTAGATTAAATAATGTGATAAAGAAAAATACATGTGACAATATTTTGATTTGTTTAAACACTTTTAGGTCAAATTATGTAATTAGTCTCTTTACTTGATGAATTTAATCTATGTATAATAATTTGTAAAAACCGAATCCTTGTACTTTTCAATATTGATAATGTAAGTCTAATTATTAACTATGTTAAACTTTTTCGTTAATTATATTAATATAGTATTTGATTGTACTAACATTGAATATGATGATATAGTATTTAAAAATAATGTAATGATTATATTAATGTGGCATTGATCAAACGCACAAATTTAAATTCTAAGTGATGATATGATGTTGTTGATGTGATATTTTTTCAATTAGCTCGAAATGAATGCTAGTTTTTTTATAATGATTAAGAATTCAAAGATGGAAAACTTAAAAAAAATGTAGAGAAATATTATTTTCTTTTTTCTCAAATCTTTCCCTTATCATCGGATCTTATTTCATTTTTCTCAAGTATTACGATTATTATTATTAATTAAAAAGTGTAATGCAATCTAATTAACTTGACTGTGAATTGTAATCGCATTACATTTATTGACTAATAAGGCAAATGGAATAAATAATCGCATTACATTATTTATTTTTAATCATTTTAAATAACATTATCTTTAAAAAATAAATTCAAGGAGGACAACTTGGTAGAATACTTGACGTAGGCATCAGCTAATAAGAGGAGTTGATGATTTCACAACTTAGTGTTTTATATTTAAAATGATTAAACTCTATAAAAAAAATTAAATTACAAGCTATCTGTTTTTGGTACGCAGCCTCTTAAACAAATCATGGGTACGGCAACCGACTACAGCCACAACATATAAATTAATGAATGGAGAGTAAATTAGTCGATCCTTTGGACCAACCTGTGGAAACAAGTTGCATTTAGCAAAAACTTGGTGTTTGAACTGGCGACAAAAAGGCTCAATGAAAGTGATTTCAGCCTTATGCCTTATCTACCAAATATCGGGCATATGCCCAATAGTCTGAGCAATCTCAACACAAATTTGGTATAACGCATAAAATCCCACACATTAAGCTCATACCCTTTGACTGAAATTATTTCTATTTAATATAAATACTAGAACTTGAAATTTGTGTACACATTAAGTTGTTCATTTTTCAGAGGATCAACATTATATTTACTCTGACACTATCCGAAAACTTGCACACCATATAACACCGTGCATAGCTTTAAAAAATTATTTTACGTATACAATGGATTTAAATAATTGATATATGTTCAATAAATCACAAATAAAAAAATCATAAAACTGAATTAGTTACTTGAATGAATACATGTCAATGAATTACAAAGTCATTTGTAAAAATGTAAAAATTTTAACAATACTAATATATAAGATAATAGTCCAAATAATTACTTTTTTTAATAAATAATTTATATCGTTACTTAAGCGGTTGGAGGAATTCAAACTCGTATTTAATGTTGGTTTTTTTTATAAAAAAAAAAACTATAGTGGACTTTTTTCCGAAGCAACAGTTTTTTGTTCAACTGAATGGAGCGACAAAATCTAAAATGGAAATAGGAGCATCGGCAGTAGTTCAATTAAGTATAAAAAACAGTGACTTATAACTAATCTTCGAATCAAAATCACTAATATAAGTTTGACATTTGACGTCGACCTTAGTTTTCTCTTATCAATTGTTTCCGCACCTATTTTGAAATTTGAACCATACGGACTTAGAAATTTTTGAGTGATTTTATAATTAAAAAAATATTAGTACCTAAATTATAAAAAAAAATTAATTTTTCATGTAGTATTTAAATATTACTATATAAATTACGTTTTGATAAATTTAGTCTTTGACCCCACTCCTTACAAAATTGTAAAAAAATTAATGAATTCATTAGCATTATTAACTATATAAACTTATAATATAAATAGTATAACGAATAAAAATTTTTGACACTGAAACCGCTATACTACATGCAGGTCCGTCCCTCCAACCAATCAAAAATCATTTGAATGATATATATATATATATATATATATATATATGAGTAATTAATGGATTACGCTTAATCTTTGTTTAAAACCATTTGGCTTATAGAAAAAAACAATAGTTTTGAGTAATATAAAATGATCTGTTAAACATCTTGCCATATATAGTTAAGCCAAAACAATCATTTCAGGCCACATGCTATGAACTACGAACACCATATTAGTAATAAATAATATAACCAGCTTGTTTAAACATCTTTTTTTCAGTTTTCAAGTTTGGAATATCAAAATTATATTTGGCAGGTAACTTGCTAATGGTGCATATTATAATTTGCGTGATTGAAAATCTTGGAGTGACAAATGCTTTCGTCTTATATTTTGGGTCCTTTGCCGATTCCCCTGCTATTATCATATATGAGTCAAATTTTAGTTTAAGTGAATGGAGAAAACAGAGATGAGAACAACAAAATTCACTCAAGTAAATAATCAACTATTTTAATTGTACAATACATAGGAGACTTCAGCAGAACCTTATCAGACTTTTGACTATATCATAAATATCATCACCCTCCTCTACACCTCTGTTTGTTTCCCACCCTATATGATAAAATACAAACAGAGGAAAAAAAAAACAGAAAGAAAGGAAGAAAGAAGGCCGACAAGTCACCCTCACATGGACACCATTGCCTGTTTAACTAATTTTACACACCCCTCAGGATGTGGAACATGGAGACTAGAGCTCTTTGACATGATCTTAAGTCCATGCATCTAATTTCTCTTTGTAAGGCTCTGTCTCTTACATGATGGAGCAAGAGGGATCATGGAACTGGGCATATCCATCTGGCACCTGATACACATAATAAGGTGGATTATATGGCCAGACATACGGCTCCGTTGGCTTTGGCTTTTCTTTCTCAGGCTCCTCTTTCTTTTCACCACCAACGGCACTCACGCTCACCAGCTCTGCATGCCCTACACTCTTTCTTAGCAGACTTGTTAGCTGAACCGGATCCACCCCATCTCCTGTTATTTCTATTTGGCTCTTGTCATCGCCTATCAAAGAAGCAGACTCCACCCCTTCAAACAAACACAAAAACAATCAGCCTAAATTTTTATTTCCACATTTTTGAATTCTATAATCAGAATGAATGAAAGCAAAGTTGTTTTCAGTAATACCTGCGAGACCAACCGCAATTTTCAAGGCCTTGGAGCGAGACTTGTGGCCATTCATAGTTACCTTGACTACCATCTTTTGCTGCAAATAAGAAAGCAAATTCAATTCAACATAAAATTCAATCAAAGAAAATACTTTTTTGGTATAATTCATGGTTCATTCCATACCTTCATGGTGTTGTTTATCCTTTAAGTTGGACCTCTTTTTTTAAAAAAAAAACAGAGAGTAGCAAAAACGATGGTGATGGTGATGGTGAGGGAAAGATATATGGAGCAAGAAGCCAGAGAAGAACTAACTGGCTGCTTGTTTTGTTTTGGGGTAGTAGTAGTTCTTGGCCGAGATGGATAATACTTATTGGTATTTATAGACGCATCCGGGGTCATGAGTTTGCTAAAGGATATTTCCTTGCAAGACCAAGGAACCTGTGATGTAAATGATGATGTGACCCTACCAGCCATACTGGGTCAGCGATTTCAAATGGTTCCAGAGCCATCAAAGTATATATATATATATATATATATATATATTTCAAAAGCTAGTTATTAATTCTTTTCTTTATAAAAAAAGCAAATAAAAACCAAAACACTCCCATGTGTATGTACTTTTCATAATTTTAAATTCTGCAGTTTTCACTTCTAACCACCAGTGATGAAGCAAGAAGCATGCTCATAATCAATTTAAAATTTTTTTGAAAAAATTAATTAAGATATATGACCTTGTGGATCCCGTTTACTTACAGAAATTTAGAGTTGAAATCCTTGCACTCCAGAGATTTAAGAGTCATAATTATTTTATAATTGACTCTAACACATAAGAAGTAATTGCCACCATATACACAGATGAAGTAGAGGGGTGGCAAGGCTACTATTTAATTTTTAATTTTTTTATTTCATGTCTATTTATATTAATAAATTTAAAAATTTATATTCAAATTGTAAATAAAATTTTATATTATAATTTTGTTTTAGTTTAAAAATGATTAATTTTTTACTCTTAATTGAATCATTAATTCGATCCATAACTTTATATAATTACTATTTAATCACTTTTCATATAAAATCTTAAATCCATTACTAATTATATACAGTGTCAAATGTGCCATTTCTATGAAAATGGGGATAGGGGGAGGCAGCTTATTCCAGAAATGGGAAAATATTCAATAGCATATGGTTTAAGGCGATCGCTTTCCGATAAACTAGAGTGATGCCCTTGTGTGAATTTTTTTTATTCGATTTTTTTATGCCATTGTTGGAAAATTGACAAAATAGATATATAATATTGCTGAGCAAAATGCCCATAAGTCATTTACAAAAGAAATCAAAGAAAAACTATTTGAAAATCGTTATATATCACATTTTGAGAGCATTATATATATATTATAGAACACTTGATGTCAGTAGTTGACAAAAACTGAATAAAAAATAACAATTTTAAATTCAATTACTTATCTATTCAAATTAGTTTTATAATTGGATATAGCCAATACTTATCGAGATAAATTATTTTTATTTTAGATGAAGGAACAATCGGTAAGAATTACCATTTTTTTTCCCTCAAGATTTCTTCTTCTTAATTGTTTTCCGACACTGACAATAGATTGCGTGTCATTAAATTGAACAAATGAAATAATAGGTAACAACACGTATTTGCAATTTATATATATATATAATTAAAGGAAAAAAGAAGTCAGAAACTGGTGCAGCCCTGCAAGCCTGCATTAGTTGACGTGGAGGCACGCTGAATGCTAAGTTGCGTTTTGCGGCTACCTAGGACCACGAGTCGTAGGCTACTGCAAGAGATAATGATTTAAAAAGTTTTGAATTATTTAAAAATTGTAATTTTTAATTTTTTATTATATTTAATTATAATTTTATTTTAAATTAAATAAATTTTTATTATTTTACATCTATATTATACTTATGTCATATAAAAATACAAATCATAAAAATTTTTACAAAATTAGAAAAAAAATTCAAATTTCAATGCCTAAAACTCACAGCTTGCTTGACGTTAATAAAAGCTATTTTAAAGATAAAAAAATGATCAAAAATTTTATTAGATAGAATATTTTTAAAAAAATTCAAAAACTATCACCATAATATAATTTTTTTTTCAATTTTCTCATTTTCTTTCCTTCTATACCCATATTCTACGTCTTTTCTTGTCTTTCAGCAGATGGTGACGGTGATACAATGCTGATTGCGTGAAACATTGATTGGCACTCTCTCATCATATGCGGTTGCAAGAAGTGCTAATCTATCGTTTCCTAGCCAATTGCGAGAAGCATCAATCTAAACACTCTAGCGGTTAGATCCGTCCACAAGGAGCCCTAGATTGGTGCTCTTTACGTTAGTCAAATCTTTGGTAGTCAGTTGATGAAAAGAAAGAAAAAATAAAAAAAAATACTAGAATGAAAAAAATAAAAAATAATACTTTATTTTTAGAAATTAAATTAAAATTTTAATTTTAAAAATACAATATTTAAAATTTTAATTATAAATTTTTAATATATTAAAAATAAAAATAAAAATAATTATATATTATTTTAGAGGTATATTTATAATTTATTATTTATTTTTTTTTATTTTTAAAACTATTCTTACCAATCAAGTATTAAAATAAATTATAATAGTAAGCTTTGTCTTATTACCTTCTTATGAATCACATTATTTTTTTAGAAATTTATGAATTAAATTATAAAATAATTATTTTTATTTTATTTTTATAAAATAACTATTCTATTATATAAATTAAATGTACAAGATATGTCCCATCAGTAATGACATTGATATATATCTAAATTAATAATTTCTTTTCCCTCGACATCGACAACCACCGAGGCGAGGAACAACCTCAAAGTGATGTAACTAATTTAGTGAAATAATTTAAAAAGTAGTTGTTGAATGCGAACCTTGAGTTAAATATTAATATATTTTTAGGTGGAAATGAGTGTGAAACAAAGAAAGTTGCAATTTTCTGTACATTAAATTAGAATTAAACGATTTTTGTTGCATTGGATTAGTCATCTCTTCGAGAGGTGGAGGGCGCGACTTTTCTTCTCCATCCATCGGCTTTTTCTTCATCTCCCAAAAACGAAAGACATGCTACGACTTGTCTTTGTATACAGAAAATGTTAGCATAGTTGCTAGGTCCAGTTGACTACTAAGTCAACTTTACTTAGTCATTTACTCTTGAATTGGTATAATTAAAACATCAAATTGTCACATGCTTCATTATGCAGCTCGTCAAATTCCATGAACAGGAGTCATGACATTAAAATTTGGAAATATATATTTATTGAAGGCGAAGACCAACGTAAAGGTTATTTTGAGGCTAAAAGCTCATCAACTTTCTAATTATATATACATGGTTATACAAAAATTAAAATTAAAAAAAAATCAAAACCAAAATATGTTATATGTTTGTAGAATTTCAAGAGTGAATGAATAATATGTCAAAATTTAATTGAAAATAATATCTATGAACAATCAAAAAATTATCTAAAATCATCTTTAATTAAAGCACCCAATATTTAAAACAAGTTTTGAGTTTTATTTAATTTAATCTTCACTTAATAGTTTTAATTAAGAATTTCATATATAATTTCATGTAGGAAACTTTATCTAAGTTTTACCCTAATTTTAAGTAAATTATTAATTATAGTTTAAATATTAGTTAAATTTAAAAACTTTATTTTGTGACTTTAAATATGTACTTGTTAGGTTTTCATTTAGTAAAATATGCAACTCCAAAATTACATGTTGATTTTCATTTTCACAACAGTGCATATTAAAAATTAACTGCTTATACAAATTTTCAACTAAATCACATTAATAAGTAAAATTTATTTTCTGCGTTTGAACATTTAACTTATTAATTAGTGTATTATTTTTTACTTAAAAGAGTAAACTTTAAATCTCTTTCCTTTAATTTAAAAAAAAAAAATAAAATGTGCTTTCTCTCCCTTCTTTAATCTTGTCAACAAATAGTTTTCTCCTCTTCCTCCTTCCACAGTAATCAATCAATCTTCAGATTTTTTTTTCTCATTATCTTTTATGTATAAATGTTACATCTTATTTAATGCTTCCCATATAAAAGGGCAATATATAAGATCTGGAATTTCCTATTCCTTATTTTTTACTGTCAATCTGTAATGTTATACAATTATATGTGCATAACGTTAATATTTCTCTTCTTTTTTTTAATTTTTTTAAAAATAAAAATTTTAAATTTAAAAAAATTGAAGTTATACCACGTATCCGTCTTAATCAACAACTTACAAATGAGTGACATTTATTTGACGCTCTAATTGATCATTGACTTGTTTTTTCATGTTTTTTTAAATGGTGTTAAACATATTGATAAATGAAATAAAAATTTAAGTAATATATTAAACATTTTTTAATATGAGTATCACATTACATATGTTGGCTTCATTAGTTTTTTTATTGATAATTAAAGATCAAATTTAATAAGAGTCAAAAAATGCTATTCACCCTCCCTCTAGCACATCTATTAAGACCAACAAGATAGATAAATGGACATATACATATATATATATATATATATATTATACTATAGAGGTTGAATAGGACATTATTGTTAACTGCAAGTCTCTCCTCAAATTTTCATTTTTTTCTCCTTGCTATTAACCGTGACTATACTTTCATTAAATCTTGCTTGTCACAATAGATCCAATAAAAATTTTCTGTGAAATTAAGTGATGTCCAAGAATTTTATAACATTAATATTTTTTTTAACGAGAGATTACATATACAACTAACTAACAATTATAATCAAATTAAACAATTCTCACCATATATCATATAATTACTACATCTAGTAAAAAATAATTTATAAACTAAATTAAGTAATTAAAAAACATAAAATTGGACAGAATCTGCATGTGATACAACTTAAACATATAGCCTAAAAGATTTCGACTTTTCTTTTTATTGAAATAAATCTTGATTGACTAAATGGAAAATCTTTTATAATTAAGGGTCCGTTTGTTTTGATGTAAAATATTTTTTAAAAAATGTTTTTAAGATTTCTACTTATTTGAAAGATAAAAATTTTATTTTAGATATAAAACATTTTATATGTCAATAGAAAAAACACCCATTGATTATCTAAAATATCTTATACCTTTAAGAGGTGTAAGACATTATTCAAAAAACAGAAAAAATGCTCTTATTAAGCCTAATAGTATATGTTTAATGAATATTAATGTTTAATTTAAAATATTTAAAAAATAAAATTTTTAAATTTTAAATTTTTTTGACTTAAAATATTAATATTTAAATTATTTGATACCTTTAAAAT